TATAATCATTATCATTAGAACGGGTAGTAGAAATAATACTAAAAATCAGACACAACAATCAATTTAAATGACCTCTGTTATGAGTTATTTGTTATTTTCTTTACAATAAAATGTCTCTTTTTTAAAGAGATACAGTTATGCGTCTGTTAAAAGAATTGGACCCAATCGGAGCAGATTTCCGGCGCAGAAGACGGATCCGTAGAAAAGTATACTACTCAGCTGGCCCAAATAATGTTTGGCATGTTGACGGGTTTGTTAATTCTCAACTTTTTTTTTTAATCCAGAAATTATGTATTGAACAGCTTATTATTTTTTTCTAAACTACTTCATTAAGTGGACTATACCACTTATATATCTATTTAATGGATACGACAGTAACTGCATATCTTTGATCAGGTGATCACGGCAAACAATCATTATGATCTTTAAGCGCGAAGCAATATCTTATTTTCATCAACATATTTTGATAATTGTATCTGTTCCATATGTTTTAGCTATGATAAGTTGAAACCGTACGGCTGTGCAGTCCATGGCTGTATCGATGGGTAGGTTGGTTTAATTTGTTGGAAACGTGAATGATATTTGTATAACTTAATGTGATTAACAGATAGTTAATGTAGTTTTGCTAAATATAATAATGTTTTGCGATGGCATCAATAAGTATTGTGATAAAAAATCTTATTAAACACCTAGTATGTATATATAAGTTGACTACAGATGTAAAATGACTAACGAATTTTATTTTTATAATTCTATTGAAATGGTGATATGAATTGCTGATTGGATATGTGAGGTTCTGATCAATATCTCTTTGCTACAAAACAAACTATTTTTTAGGTTTTCAAGACGAATAATGTGGTTAAACGTCGCTTCAACGAATAACAATCCAAAAGTAATGGCATCGAACTACGTAGAATGTGTTAATTCCATGAAAGGTATGTATGAATTAACATGTGCATGGTAAGTTTGCTTTAAGGTTATCATTTTCACTTTTTAATGGTGGTAAACAGTGTAATAAAGAGTTTTCGTATAAGAAATCCAAAATGAATTTCGTATTTTGTCTACAGGATGTCCAATTACTTTACAAGCAGATCCTGGCACAGAAAATTTTGATTTGGGTGCATTACAGTGTTTTTTTCCGACGGAATCATACAGATCCGCTTTCAGGGGATCGGAGTTTTCGGGTCGTTAGATCAGTCTTTAATCAGGTAAAAATTATAATATTATATTAATATAGCATTCTGTTATGTTGCTTAATCAATGTATCTATCTTAAATCTTTGACCTATCTGTGAAGAGGTATAATGAAAATTCTTGCTTAATGACTGTCTAGTCTGAGTTGGTCAGAAACTTGTGGTGATTGTAAATATAGGTTTATTCATAAAGAAGTTCTTAGTATTTCAACTGACATTTTTATCATATCAGCTCCTCATTTAATAGATAAAGTAATAGTACTGTTACAAAATGTTTTCCTTTTTCATGTTACCAGTTTCTTAGATATATCTTTTCCTCAATTTCCTCAATTTTTCAAAGGAATGAGGTTTTCTTCATTTAATAGCGCATCGAAGCATGGTGGAGCATGTTTCGACGACATAAGTCGCAGTGGTTTATGGATTTATTTCATGACCTTGAAGTGTTTGGAGCTTTTCGAAAAGACAGTGTCATGGACATGTAAGTATTTTTATTTTTGAATTTTGCAAATGTTTTTCAAAAACATGTCCACCTTAAAACAATTCACATACTATTTCTATGTAGGAGGGAATGTATTCGTTCGAGCCTTCAACTTAAACGTTTAGAATGACATATATACCGAAAAAAGTGAAGTTCGTTTATTACTTGCTGGTCCAGTTTGTACATGTTTTTATTTGTTACATTAATGAGTATTGTTTTATTTCAGATATTGTTTACGCTTTTGTTTTATGCCGTTATTGCAACAGGAGTTAAACACGATGAAGGATCAATGGAACAGTCACCGAATATCTCAAAGCAGACAAGCTTCAAGTCCGGGTGGTCGTCCAATGGTTCTGCACTTGTCACCAGAAACTGTAGGTGAGTAAACACAGGATGTTCATAATGTTTTAGTACAGCAGTGGTCTTGACGCCAAAATTTTCATAAATAGATGGATGAGTATAAGAATATTAAACTAACTGAAAATATCAAAATAGTATCTGGTGTCCTCTTGCAGTGTTTTCTGGATTTGCCTGATGTTTAAAACTTATAAGCTCGGCTTCGCTATTTAAAATGTGGTGTATTATTATTAGTATATCATTTTATCTCAAAATCCTTATATTTGATTGCTCATAATGCGTTATGAATAAACCGAAGGGTAGTACACAATCTTAAATAACACGTTGTCTTATTTTATATATGCTATAAGAAAGATAAGCTTTTTCTCAAATAATTAATAAATAAGAGTATAAAGAATAATATACATATAAGCAGTATATTCATGTGTGGGAGAAGTTGCTCAATCGTGCGAAATAGGTTCATGACGTTCGAATTCTCTATGTATTTAGTACCCACCTAATTTAATCTTATGTCTTTTAATTCGAAGCATTGATTTGCGACAATGTCGTTAATAAAGATGTTAAGAAACTCTTTTTTTCTTTTTCTGATGAATACTGTTTTTTTTTAGGAGCTAAAGAATGTCTGCAAACAGTAAATAGTGATGATATTGATTGGGCTTTTACACAATGCCAAGAAGTCTGCAGAAGTGGACGCCCGGAGTTTGATGTGGTTGCCGAACGTGAATTTAGGTCATTGAGCTGGCTTGATGCTACAACCGTCAATGATGCTTTACGACTGTATTTTCATTTAAGCGCTATAGTAGCACTGGATTCATAAAAATGTCTATCAGATGGGTGTTTTGAGGGTCTTTGAAAAGTTGTGTGTGCACCGGTCATTATCATTGAAGGCATTGTCTATACAATATCCTATTTATGTAAAAAGAAATACCTTTGTTCATGTTTGGATTTGTCATGTGTATCTGTATATCTTTTAACAAAATTATTTAGATTTTGTGTTTTTTTCTTTTTTTTTTACAAGTGTTAGAATCATAAGTTAATAAGTATAATTAGAACACTGACGGGTTGACAAGGGCCCTGCCGTGTTTTCTGTCTGTACCTTAAATTATAGTGTCCTTAACCTTGACCTTAGAATATTTGAAAATATTTTAAATCTACATATCAGTGTAACACGATGTATTTTTTTTTTTTAAATATATGTCCTTTGGATTATAAGAAATATCCAAAAACGAAATCGTGAACGGGTACCGTGATTACTATAGGGCACCCACATCTCTTTACATTTGATAGTATTTTGAATCAATGTTCAATTTTTAAAACGTGACTTTATCCATATTAGGGTTAAGCTTTGTTCCATGGATTCTATTTTAAAACCCCTTATTGACAAATTGAGCCAAGAGTGGACAAAATATAATCAATGTATTGTGAAAAAACACTTCTTAGAAATATTTTCACTTCGATTATTCGCCCACCAGAAAGATTTGAAAAGATTGTACGCTGAAGGTACAATTGATAATGGTACAAAGCAGAGCTGATTAAGTAAGAAATGATTTTATGCAAATATTTATCACATACTCGTTATTTCGTTTACCGACCCTAAAAATTCTCTGTGACCAAATGAGGCTAAACAGTATATACATAATTATACAAAGAAAACTCAAAGTCAATATACAGCAATGTAAAGTTGTTTTTTTTATCTGAAATTCCTTTACTCGTTTTGCAATGAAACATTGCACTACAGCTAAACATTATTATATTGTTTTTTTTCTACCATCAAAAACCAGAATATTTATAGAAGTAATTTCAAAGCATGTTCGTGACAGAAATAAAATGAGTGTACAGCACAGTGATGTCTATGTTTTCTCCAAGTTCATGAAATTGCAAACTTTGACTTGTTTGAGTCTATGTATCATCACCGGAAAAAACTACACCAATAGTTCACTACTGTATATGTAACATGTGCTAATTATGGCATGCAAAATTCTAAATTGTTCAATTATCAATCAATCGATCGAAGGTTCTCCACAAATACATAAGATATCTGATGTCTTCTATAGCATAAGATTCGAATGGAAGTAAATATAAAAGTATAAATACACAATATCGGTTTATATAAGACTAAAGAAGAAATTCTACTTATACTGACGAAGCGTAACATGTCAACTGATGCGCTATATTTCCGATATTACCATTGTTTCTTAGTTTGGCTTAAAGTTCGAAATATATTTATATTTCAACTTCCCCGGTGATTCTTGAAATCTAAAAGCAACGAATGTTATTTTATTATGAATACAATTATTGGTCTAGGGAGATTTCTATTTTTAACATATAAGATAACTTCTATGATATATCATATCTACAAGTTGTATACATATAATTGTATAAACACAGTGTCGCCATCCCTTTCCCGTAAATGTTGAGATGGTTTGCCATAGATATAAGTTGACTTTACTACTTAAGATACACGCATAACGATGGGTACACAATCAATTAACAAAGGGCCCAGAGGGCCTGTATCGCTCACCTGTTTCTTTTGTTACATGAAACTGACATGTAGGTAACTTCAAACCAAATTTGGTAACTAGATCACAAGACTTTTCACATCTCTTAAAGGCTTCTTAAGATATTGTTGCTGGAATTTTCAAACTTTAACGTTAAAGCTTTTAACCCGCGTTGACCTTTGACTCGGGCTAGCACTCGGGCTACCACTTAAAGGTTGATATTTTACCACATTACTGTTATAAAGAAAATGATTCACAGCTGGTCTACATAACATACCAAAGTATCATGACTCTAGACCAAATGCATCTTAGGATATCGTTTTTTGAAGTTTTGAACATATTTGACCCCTTTGACCTTGAAAACTAGGTCAAGGCCATTTTAATGAGGAAACTTTATAGCACTCCAATCCAGGTACCTACTGGCCAATTATCATAACCCTAGGCCCTCAAGTTCTTCAGAAGAAGTCGCTCAAAGGACGGACGCCACAGTACGGCATAAGCTCACATGGCCCTTCGGGCCAGGTAAGCTAAAAATAAGATCGCACTGTAACAACCTGTTTTATGTCTCTTCCAGTTTGTATTTCACAATCAACATTACTACAATCCAAAATAATCATTATGAAATGCCAGTTCAAAACGGTCAAAAAGCACCTCGTCCTCCGCATGGTTAAAACGTGTGGAAACAGGGAGGTAAAGTCTGTTAATGCACGTGGAGGCAGTAGGAATGTCGCCTGGTAGTTCAGAAAAATGGTCTCATTTCAAAGCCAAGCACAGGTTCCTCTGCCGAGCCAGTTATGAACTGCATGATTTTCTCCAGCGTCATGGAACCTTTTCTTCCAGCTGAAACAATCCAGGGAAAACACAAATTAATTACACATGAAAGAATAATGGCAGTGTGTGACAGGATAACCGATAACTTTTCACGATAACTTACGTTTGTATAATCATCTTGAGACTTCAGCATTTCGTGTTTTTTTTATTCTTTTCTTCAAAACGTTATTGCTCAGGGCATTTTGAGGTAATACAGAATTCCATTAGTGAAGGCAGATCTCGAGACCAATGATAGCATATCTACATTGGTCTTTTCATAGCCAAATAATTTTGCATATTTACATAGTTATGGAATTCAAACTATATCCATGTTAAGATTCAGGGACTGAGTTCCTATGTGTAGGGCATACCCGAACTGGAATTAGTCCACTGCAACAGATTTAACATATTGTTGTAGTTCAGTACCATTTAATAGCTAACAATTAGATAATAGAAGCAAAGAAAATAAATGAATAAGAATTTAATATATAATGAAAACAATGTGGTACTGGTCTGTTAATTAAACACATTCATCATAGAATAATGGCAATCGAACCTACCGGCGACTTCTCTCAGATATTGTCGAAATGCAGAATATGTCCTTTCCTCTAATTTCCGCCTGTTTGATCCCTCCTCATGAAATGGGGTTTGTATTAGGTAAAGTAATTTTGTCACCGTAACCTTTGCAATACGTCTCCGGAATAAGTATTTCACTGAGGGCTTTTTCTCCAACAGCTGCAATGAAATGAACGTCATTACAATTAGGTTTTTAAGTATGAGAGAATCACGATGCCTAAGAGCTGACTAAAATACTATTTTGTCGCCAAAAATGCGTAATCATATACGAAATATTGAAAATCTAACATCCTTTACACCATAACTTGTATGATACTTATATTTCCCAGTAAATTATAAACAGGATGCCTAACTGGTCTGCATTGTTCAACTGGTATCAATCTTACACATGTACTGGACAAATAGTATCACTTTATGCTAAGAAACCAGTAACGGATTCTGAAATATTTGACCCCTGTTACCCAAGAAGGTAAAAATCAATTATTAGCTCACCGGGTCCGAAGGACCAAGGTGAGCTTATGCCATACCGTGGCGTCCGTCGTCCGTCGTCCGTCGTCCGTCCGTCAACAATTTCTTTAAATGACTTCTTCTTCTTAACCACTGATTGGAATTTAACTTAATTTGACTGGAAGCATCCCTTGGTGGTAGGGATTCAAAATTGTACAGATTGTGGGGCTGCCCCCCAGGGGGCTGAGGGGCGGGGCAAAAAGGGGGCAATTTGGCTATATTGCTTTAAGCGACTTCTTCTCTGGAACTAAGAGATGGATATCAACCATATTTGACTGGAAGCATCCCTAGGTGGTGGAGATTTAAAATTGTACAAATGGTTTGGCTGACCCCCCAGGGGGCTGAGGGGCGCGGCCAAAGAGGGGTAATTTGGCTATATTTCTACAAACGACTTCTTCTGTAGAACTATGCACTGGATATCAATCATATTTAATCAAAAGCATTCATGGGATGCAGGGATTCAAAATTGTACAAATGGTGGGGCTGACCCCCCAGGGGGTGAGGGGCGGGGCCAAAAAGGGTTATTTGGCTATATTGCTTTAAGCAACTTCTTCTCTGGAACTAAGTGATGGATATCAATCATATTAGACTGGAAGCATCCCTAGGTGGTGGGGATTCAAAATTGTACAAATGGTGGGGCTGACCCCCCAGGGAGCTGAGGGAGGGGCCAAAAGGGGGGCAATTTGGCTATATTGCTATAAACGACTTCTTCTGTAGAACTATGCCATGGATATCGATCATATTTGGTCAGAAGCATTCATGGGAGGCAGGGATTCAAAATTGTACAAATGGTGGGGCTGACCCCCCGGGCTAAAGGGTGGGGCCAAAAAAAGTTTATTGCTTGGAAATGGTTGAGATCCCCACCCTTTAACCACATATACAATTGCTGAGTATTAAGAGAAGAATGCACATTTGCTTCCAGGATCGCCCTAGGGTCTGGCCCCACCGTTGGAAACATAGTCCTTGGGCCATAACTTTAAAACTGTTGAGATCCCCACCCCAAACCTATATATACAAAAGCTGGGCATAAAGAGACGAATGCAGTCACGATGTTAGAATAGACCCTGGGATCTGACCGAACCCCTAGGGACCTAGTTTCGTAGTCACAGCTTGGAAACAGTTGAGATCCCCACCCTATAAAGAGATGAATGCACATATGCTTCCAGGATGACCTGTGGGGACTGCCCCACCCTTGGAGACTTAACCCCTGGGTCCTAACTTTGAAATGGTTAAGATCCCCACCCCAAAACTATATATACAATTGTTGGGCATAAAGAGACGAATGCAGTCATGATATTAGAATTGACTCCAGGGTTTGCCCCACTCTTGCAGACTTAACCCCTGTGTCATAACTTTGAAACGGTTGAGATCCCCACCCAAAACTATATATACAAATGCTGGGCAAAAAGAGACAAGTGCAGTTATGATATTAGATTTGATCCTGGGGTCTGGCCACAACCGTAGGGACCTAGTTTCTGAGTCACAGCTTGGAAACAGTTGAGATCCCCACCCCATAACCATACATAAAATTGCTGGGCATGAAAAATCGAATACAGATATATATGCTACACGGATTGGCCTTGGGGTCTGGCATATTCCCTTGGATCTCATTTGGAGAATATTTTGCCATGATTGCTTAGATATCCAGGTGAGCGATACAGGCCCTATGGGCCTCTTGTTTGAACAAGCATGATAACACTTTATGCAAGAGGCAAACTTGTGTTACCCGAGGCTACTTGTTATTCAGAAGAAGTTGTGTAAATATTTAAAGACACATCTGAGACCTTGAAAGTTAGTCAAAGTCAGTTATTTGAAATGACTTGAAATTCATTCATACACGCATGCTATATGGCAACTTATATAATCCCTCGCCGTTTTGTCAGAAAAAGTTTGTTTTACCACATTTGACGCTTGTGACCTAAGTCAAAATCAGTCATTTGTACGAGACACTTACTCCTTATCCAACCATACTACTGACCAGAATATCATCACCCTGGGCGATTTTAGTTATTCATATTAAAGTAAGTTAATTATTTATCCCCACCGTTCAGCCTCCAAACATGTACATACCTGCCATAGGCCAACTCTCTCCAACCCCTTCTTGAACATTGTGTAATGTTCCTTATCATGCCAGTTGCTAACAAGGTTGTCCAAAAAGTCCGCACAGGGTCCGTTCTGAAGTGCACTCATACCTGTAATATAGATGGGATGGATATATGTAATCTTAATCATTAATATGGCGCCGTTTCATAAAAAGTAATTAGTTAAAAGCTGTATTGTTAAAATGTACAACTTAGATTAACTGGACAATATGAGTAAGTATTCACTCACCAACAACCATTCCTGCATAGTAATAGCCATGGGTAGCTATCAGGTCTGTTTTCTGGAAGAGGGAGTAAATACCATCTTCATGATTGATAATTCTTTCTTTTATTTCGTCCAGTGCAAGTCTCAGAAATTCCTTCCTCGGACCCCCATAATCAGCACTGACCTCTCCATAAAACTTGATTTCAAGTGGATCCCGGATGTTCTCTATAGACTCAAACTCGGACACCAAATCTTCCCATAGAGACATCCTTCCAATGAATAAAAGCCTTGTGTCGCCTTCGATTGGGGTTTCGTCCGATGAAAGATCCAAAGGCCTCCCCTGCAAAAATGTCTTCCGGTATTCTCTGAGAACACTCGTGGGCTCTTCGGAAGAACCACTGTAATAAATACAGAGAAACAACGGATATTAGCCATAGATTAGCATTTCCCTCTAAGGAGATCCTGTCTGAAGTAGTAATGTTTAAAGATACTATTATATAAATAATCATGTGAAATACCATCAAATGATTTGTCAATAGAAGATGATTTAAAAAGTTACAAACAAATTATTCGACTTTGAAAGTCTACAGCGCGTTTGACTATATTCAGATGTTTCCTTTTTAGGCATCCCACTTCTGACACCAATTTGTTACGTTTCCATTTCTGACACCATCTTGCTATAAATCAATGTAATTGTTAATTTCTTTATGTTTAATGAAATTCCAGTCGTTCAGTCGGTCTGGCTAATGCGAGAGATAAAAACACAACATACAAGTTATCATAAGGTTAACTAAAATTTTACTAACATGTTACCAATGTATTTGCCAAAAGTTCAAGTGAATAATGTTACATAAAAGTGTCTTCAGGAGGAAAATTTATAAAGTTGACACACTTTGAAATAATCCAATTTAGTAGAAGATGAAGATTGATATTTCTTCTAAAACATATGGTTAAGACAAACTGTCTATAAGTCCGGAAATATCACTCAAAAGTAATATAACTAAATAACCACTGAAGTTTACACTAATTCGACTAATTCAACTAACTAAAACTCTTTATTCTTCAAATTACTCCACTGGACTCCTCACAAGTCACAGAATACTTTCCGAGTCATCATTAATCCTCTCCATACAGTTTCCTCCAGACTGCCCGTTTTCCTCTCAATCTCCCCATCAACTCCATTCTCAACAAAAACTCCTCATCTCTCGACAATCTCTTAATCTCCTCAAAAACTCTTGATCTCCACCGACAAACTCCCTGACAACCCTTTATATAGGTAAAACTTTTTTACGATACTGACATCATATACAAAATATACTCAAATCCATACTAATTTTAGCTGATGACAGCATTTACTAAATATGTTTAAATCCATACTAGACTTAACCAATGACATAATTTACTAAATATAACTAGAGACAAAATAAACTAAAGATGGAGCTACATGTACATCTAAACACAAACTATGGAAACCACCTAGTACTAAATACAGGAGCCGTGTCTAACAATAGATCAAGATGTATAACTAGGAAATATATTTATACCAGCAACTGACCAGCTCATTAGATATGCAGAGCCTTCCTATTTACCCCAGTAATGACCTCATTCAATACATCAGTCCCTCAAAATGATCACAAATCTATTTATATCTCACTCACTCAGAATGACCACATCGCTATTTATATCTAACCCTTCAGATGCCTGAAGATTTATCACACCAGGGAGGCTCATAACCTTTGACCTTATTTATTTCAGCTACTGGACCCTTATCTCTGAGCTGTAAACAAATATTACAACACCAAACTGACCCTATGAACTGACTTACTTTTAAATTGAGAAAACACATAACATTCATCCTAATAAATGAAATACAAACACTAATAACAATCATTTGTTAAAAACTCCACAAATACACTATGCTATCGTTGAGATGAATCGCGCATAGTGATTTTGGTTTTAAACACACGCGCATTGCCATTACTACGATGGCCGACAAGAGCCTGACAAAAAGATATGAATTTTCATATCTTTTTGTACCACGGTACACTTTGATATGGTACACAAAGATATGAAAATTCAAACCTTTGTGTACCATGTAAAAGTGTACCATTGTACACAAAGATATGAAAATTCAAATCTTTGTGTACCATATAAAAGTGTAACATGGTACATAAAGATTATAAACAACTTTACAAAAACACTCTTTACTTTCACATGTATATGTACCAACAGCCGATATCAGCCGGCAAAAAGATATGAAAGCTTCTCTCCTTTTAGTACCGCGTTACACTTTTTTTTTTTTCTTTTTGTACCACCCATGGTACAAATAGATATGAAAAAAGTGTACCATGAAATCACGCGTTACACTTTTTTCATATATTTCTGTACCGTGGTACACTTTTGCGCGGTACAAAAAGATATGAAAGCTTCTCTCCTTTTAGTACCGCGTTACACTTTTTTCATTTCTTTTTGTACCACCTACGGTACAAATAGATATGAAAAAAGTGTACCATGAAATCACGCGTTACACTTTTTTCATATCTTTCTGTACCGTGGTACACTTTTGCGCGGTACAAAAAGATATGAAAGCTTCTCTCCTTTTAGTACCGCGTTACACTTTTTTCATTTCTTTTTGTACCACCTACGGTACAAATAGATATGAAAAAAGTGTACCACCAGAGCATCGGAATGTTGTTATCGGACACTATGACCAGAACTGACCCCGAATAGTGGAGCCCTAATTACAACGTCGAAACAAGTCGTGAAATTCATTAATCACTGCTGATGAAAAACAGAGTTAGTTGCAATTGTGTAAGTATTGGGACAGGGTCTCCAAAAGGGAAAAAGAACATCTGTATATTTTTATCATTTCCCTTGTTTTGATAGATGTCCAGATCATAAAAGAATCGTACAACTAGCTCATCGTATTTCCCCCATAAAAATATAAAAGATTAAATTGATTGTCCCCTTTTGTCCCCTTGTCCCACACGGACCCCGTCGGCGTTTTCAACTGATTTGGAGTTTCTTTCATTTGAGAAGTTGAAGCGCATAGTATACATGCGGAATGTAAGTATTAGAAAAACAATCCATAATGACTTCCTTTTTAACGTAAAACTTTTATAAAATTCGGTAAGGATATTGAACAGTTGATTTCAATTTAAATGAGTAAGTAATAGTTTGGTAGCTCATTTGGTGTAATCAAAATAACAGACATTCCGTGCGATAACATTTCATTGTAAGTGATGACAGCCTTATCGGGGTGTAATTTGTCATACTTGGTAACCTTTACGTCTGATGGTTTCACATGTTTCTGTACCATGGCTGTTTTCGGCCGTTATTTTGGTACAGAAAGATACAAAAGCAACGGGATGATTTTATTTCTGCTTTCATATCTTTGTGTACCATGGTACACTTTTACATGGTACACAAAGATTTGAATTTTAATATCTTTGTGTACCATGTAAAAGTGTACCATGGTACAAAAATATATGAAAATTCATATATTTTTGTCAGGCTCTTGTCGGCCATCGTACATTACATACCCGTGAGATCAATTAACATATGTACCGTAATGTCTTGCGTATTGCCCGCTCCGTTATATTGGCCGCACATTTCAATATATTGAGAGACGGAGGAGTAACAAAATTCATAACAAAAACCTGTTTGAGTACAAATTTTGATACTTATAATCTAAACATCATTTAATGAAAAGTTGTCAAAAATCCACCAATAAGTTTCAAATTAGTTTTTTGAAGGTTTTGCTTCCCTTATAGTCCTCAGACTGCAAAGTCTGACTGATGGTTTCCAAGGAGATCGAACATGCGATTTATGCAATATGAAGCACGATGAGACGGAAGCCTTAGCTTAGTAAACCACAGATGATGTAAAATGGATTTTGGAATAAGACACTGGGATGTATTCGTTGCTTTGATTGAAATGAATAATATTACGATTGAATATACTAACAATTTTAAACAAACCCTGTACTACGCTTATAAAATATTCAAATTGCCAAGAGATTTTTTAACACAAAATACAAAACTCAGTCAACCATAATTTTGAAGTTTTAGTTGGTAATAATTCAATGATTCTTCAAAACGGCCTAATAATTTTTGTGATACCTTCGGAAACAAGTGGCCAAAGGCCAAATAGCTGGTGGGATAATGTTATTTCACTGTCAGAGGGTCCACGCTTTAAAAATACTATCGAGAACGGATTTTGTAACCGAAGCCCAATACAAGAACGATATTATCTACGTTGATCTCAGCAGAGATTGATAAAGGGAGGTGGTTCTGAAATTAAAATTGGACTCTTTCAGAGAAATCTGTTAGTCTGTGTTGTATACACCTTCCTTTATCTGAACAGTATGAAATTGATAAGAAACATGATCAGCCGACGCTAGATAAACACAGAGTATCAGTAATTTTAATGAGTATTCGGCTCTGTCACCACACGTCCTGATAAAAGTGAAAGTCTACCACTATTTTGCACCGCACGGTTATCGCCGGCAGAGCGGTGACCGATCGCGGCATTGAAATTGATACCAATGTATTGTTAACTTAGCGCGATTCTTAATATTTTAATAAATCTAGACTTATTCGCAGCAGGCTTACAGGAAACAAGAAGAAATGCATTTAAAAATTAGCCATTTATATATGTATAAATTCAAATTCAAACATATTGTACAATGCTATTGGATACATGCACATGCCATTTGCACTAAATATAAATATGTTCTAACTACGATGGCCGAAGGCGGCCAGTCAAACTTTTGTGTGATACCTAAACAAAACATTTACACTTATTTTGTGTAGCATTGTACACTTTTGTGTCAAACACAAACGAAGCACCTATTGACCTTTTTGGAATGATACGCATTCAAAATATTATCACAATAATATGAAAGTTAAACATACCCTATACGATTAGGAGTTGTACGGTAGCACTACAGCACCCAACGGTGACAATATATATTGTCTGCGTCAGCCCAGTTAAGAAATGACGTCCATTTCCCCCTTAGCATCGCTTATATTTGTCACTACTTATAAAGGTTCCTTCTTTTTTGCGGCGATTTTTTATTGTTGAACTTTAAGATGTGCCCAAAGAGAATGGAAGGAGGCGCGGTAAGATAGTTATAAAATTAAACAAAAACAAGACACGTAGCGGTATTTATAACAAAAGCAAACAACATATGTATATCAGTTTTAAATTTGTTATAAATATAACTCACATATAATTAATCAGAAACGAAGTATAAATGATTTGTTTGTGTACCCAAACAAACGTGTACCATACCCCTCATCTTGAACTGCCACCTTAGACACTTTGTGTATATTGATCAACATATAGCTTTGTTTTGGAAGATAACGGTAAATGTGTCAGGATTAATTGGTGTTATCATTTGTATCAACAGGTGCTGCTTACCCCACAACCAACACCCCTACCGCCCAGCCCCTTTTTAAATTCTTCACGGGTTGTAGTTCATATCTAGTTTTATAAGAATTTAAGTGATCAAGATATTGATGTATTGACAATAACTGATCCATACCATATCCAGAGATGCAAAATTGAAAATATTTGAAAATGAAATGTTTTGATCTCTGATTTATAAGACTACATGGTATATTAGACCAATATTTGGGATTAGACCAATGACACCGTATACGCCTATAATATGTCCATACATTAGACCAGTGCAGCATGGTCAAAATTAATTGATACTGTCCGTATACCTGATATGTCTCCTTTCAAACCTGGTAAACATTAACAGTGGCATCGCAAATTTAACATAAACCTATTCTTAACTGATCTGCGGATTTCCTACTATTATTGACATTTAATAAATAAATCTGTTTATCATCTATATACTACTTTATACCACCTACCGGTAGCATGATAAATTCATTATCACTGGTTGTCAGTGTGAGAAGAGGTTGAGAACAACTTAAGAACGGATTTTCCCATTCCCTAGCACCTGGGAACGTATTTTCTCAAAAAAAGAACACCAGATGACGTCCAAAACCGGAAATATTGTCTACATAAAAGTGGTCCGCATAAGAAAATAGTTCGTCACAAGCATATCAATACAAAGTCACATCATTTTATTGTGAAAACGTCGCAGATTTCATAAATATAATGTCGGTATATGGTTTGTATGGATTTAAAATGTTTAAATTAAGTACCTGGGTATTCGGGTTACGCAATGGATTGCGCACTTGTCTTTCACCGAGACGATCGATTCCGATCCCTGATCGGGCGTGTAAAAGTAAAGGGTCATCTGCCTGAACACATTGTTTTTTCTGACTGACTATAATAAGTTAGAAAAACTTTCATTACTCCATTAAGTAATAAGTCTCCATATTATTCCGACAGCTGACTTTACTAGATGGTGATGTGTTTTCAGTGGTTTAGAGTAGAGACACCGGTTATTTGCAGTCATCCCTTGCTTGACTAGTGTTTAAAAGCTCGCAAAGTTTACCATTACCTGTTATTCATTTTATTAAACTATTTGATATTTCATTCCGTTTCATAAATGTCGTAAAATGAACTTACTTTATTTATGAATATCATTAGACGATATATTAGACATATTATGCTACACTATTATATGCTATTGGCTACTTAATATGAACCTCATTTATGTTGTAATTTGTTATAATATACTTACATTTTCTGTAGTGCCAGGTCGACAATAGCTTCCACTTCTTCCATATTTTCCCAGTCATACACTGCTGTCACAGGACCCGATGCTGACACTCTTAAACGAACACAATGTATACGGTTGTACACTATTATAATTGAAATTGAAACCAACATTTTGTCTGTCTGAGCACAACTGAATCAAACTTGCAAAACATTTTCGATATATATACTAATTGACGTCATGTCTTCAAATTAGGGCATAATGACTCATCTGTCGCTTTCCTTTAACATTGGATATATTTTTTCCATATGACACATCAAAATAAAGTACATGTACATTGTATATTTTCTTATTTGGGAAGGCTTGGTTGTGGGGGTATATCAAATGAGATATACTATCTGGAATACTATTTTGCACAATGGTGTATGTATCTGGTTGTGGAAGGAGCGGACATAGTGTTGATATGTACGTTTTGAGATGAACGACATCTAACCTCTTCGTCGTAGATAGTTCAAGAATGTTTGAATCCCCGGAAAACTGCGACAGCCGGCTGTCAGGTGTTATGACCCGCCCGTTGATAGTCATTAGCGTTAGGTCGTCTGTTGCAGACTCTCCGGCAACAAACTCGATGAGGTCCTGTGAAAAACGACCACCGTACTTCAGTATAAACTTAATTGTTTGGTTTCAAACAAAATAGCATACATTTGAACTATTAAACCTAAACATAAAATAGATGAGCGCTGGAAAATTCAACGACTAAAATGGTGTTTCAAAAATGACATACGAGCTATAAAACTACAATTAAAACTATATATCTTTTAGGAACTAGCTATCAATTGATTGTTAATCTTTTACATATTTGATGATTTTTGTCAGAATAAATACTTGTATCTGTGTACCTTTTGTGGAAATATTTGCTTCTTATTGTATAAGTGAGTGTAATGGTAGGGAGAATTGACAAGATTTCGATTATGTCTAATTGTGTTTACTTTATATTTGTATGTACGGTAAATGTCTTGAAAGCGTCAATGCGTGTAGTTTTGTGTCTGCTATCAGTAACAAGACCAATGACCTTGATTACTCATTTTGAGATCGTATTGCATACCTACCTTGCCAGCCGCATTGTTTGGGAACGATTCTTGGACAAAACGATCATGAATTTGTATTCTACATTCTACCACCAAATTAGGGCTCTGTGCCAATGGAAGGGTGTCACTGGCGAGCTTTATCTACTTCAATAGTTGGCAAGTCATCTTCGGATGAACTATCCGTCACAACTTCGATGTTCGCGCCTCTGTGGTTTTCTGAAAAGAAAATATCAAATGATACTGCCACTTTTTTGTCGATTGGCTTATTGTGTCAATTGTAAACGTGTTAGAGAAAGCGTTCTTGTGTAAATAGGAATATTAAGTCCGTCAATTTAGTTATGCAGGGGAACCTCTGTAAATGCTTTTTTCATGTTTAACGACAACATTCTATTATTGATTATTTTTTTTTATATTCGGCTTGCTTTATATCAACAAACCTTTAAGGCAAAGATACAATCTCAATCTGTCGTATCTTCGGCGAGGGTCAAGATAATCCCGATATCCTGAAATGGTGAAATTTGCAATGTTGCCGGGGAGGCGATTTACTTCTGTTCCGTCAGGGTATACTAACAGAAAGTCATCGGAACTTTTGTATACTCTCCGAAAAAACTGATTTTGTGTGGAAAACTTATAAAAAGCGTCCTTTTTGATCAATTTGCTTGTTTCTTCGGTTTTGGAATATGGTCCGACAGCAACAGTACCACCGACTGAAGACAGATTCATTGCGCTGATCCTTGTAAATTTTCCAGCTTTAAAATGACCAACTCCAACTGTCATATAAAAGTAAAAAATAAGACTGCATCTAAATTATTATTCTTCCATTTTTTTGAAATATATCACCTTGTCAATGTCAAAACAAACTGCCATTATTTCCGAGACCCATCGTATAAATTTACCATAGTTGTCTGTTGCTCCTTTTTGCAAAGAGCATTGCCTCGGTCATTTTGGGTACGTGTTTCCTGACGACCGGAAGTCGGCGTTGAGATGTGTCTATTCGTTATTTGTCTTCGGAATGTTTGAAACTGGGTATATCTCCCCTCTCCATGTGCTATAAAAGATTATAAATATTAGCATATACACAGCTTCAAAATATGAAACTAGTTGTACCCTCATTAGAATAGTGGTTATTATCGTTAAATTATCCACAGCTAGCAAGAAAGAGCAATAATAATATTTCTATTGAATTGTTGTATCTCATAGAAAGTTATGAAAACTTTACAAGAATCGAAAATATCAGATTATTTCATTTACGTTTTACTGATTTGGATACAATCGTATTTACTTTATTCCCTTATCTTTTTCTTTCTTTATGATGCTTTCATTTAGTGCTATATAAAATACAATATATCTAAATATGCATACGTCTTTTAAAATTAAAATACACTAACCGCCATGTGATGAGCACATCGCCATGTATTCCCTTCCCTCATATTCCCAGCCACCAACAGGCTCTCTAAATATTCCATCTCTGCATATGACATGGTGATAATCAGTTTCTCCATTATCTTTGTATCGTAAAGAATTTGCCGACGGAAATGCGCTTTCTGTACAAAACAACAAAACAAATAATTTAGCACTTTATATTAAAGATGATCATATACAGCTTTAATTTTTGGAAAATATTTACGTTCCGAAATTAATGTCAACATAATACATGCAGATATATTTGAAAGGAACGTTGTTGAGTGATTGGCTTTGTTTTTTGTCATTTAAGGATATGTATCCATGTGTGGCGTGTATTTGTGCATTTGTATATGAATTCCATTGGTACTTGAGCTAACGTTCAAAATTAAAGCGAAGGGTGAGGTATCATAAAGGAAGGCGCTAGGACACATAAACTTTGTTAGGGAGTAGAGAGAGAGAGAAAATATATATAATATCAAATGTTGCAATGCTTTGGTTACTTATGTGTCCCCTTTTAAAAGGCAGAAAAGCAAAACATGCAACGGGTCACACCAGGTATAATGGTTTCTCATTCTCTGATATACAAGGATGCTGTAGTTGAGTGCGATCATTGATAAATCATCAAACTCGAACACAAATAATAACACGTCTGTGCAGTTTGTTTCTTGTAGCTTTTTGAGCGATACCAATTTGTATAGTCATACAAATGACAGTATGCTACTTAATAACAAAACAAAGAGGATGAACTACAAGAAAAATAAAAGTCATATTTGTATACCAAGAAGATATTATATAAAACAAACTGCACAGAAAGTAGTTCTCTTTAATACTCACTTATGTCAAGTAAGGAAAACGCTGTCTCTCCTAAAGAGAAAAGCAATGAATCGTCATCGTTCTCTGAATTCCGTACTTTGATTGATGCCCTGGAGATTAATTATATCAATATATAATAACAAATGGTAATATCCTTATGTACGACAGGTAGATATAATTTTCAAGCAAGTACTTAAATATTCAATTTCAAGTGTCCTTCTCGTTATTATCCCCAATGTAAGATAGTCTACCCTGGAGGAGAGCCTTACACGTTTCAGTTGATACATTTTGAGCTCATGTGATATTAGACAACCAAACATCAATCAAAATACTGAATATACCGAAGGGTTGGATTTTTGCAGGCACTGTCCACTCGCTTTAATTTCTTCCGCGTGTTTTTATAAAAAATTCCTCAAGAAAATACCTTTCTTTTGTTAACATTCATACGAGCGCGGCATTGCGTACCATACTATTACCTGATATTTCAATATATGTATGATGAAACAATCATAACGAAACTGATAGCAAGCCAAATTAAAACCTAATAAATGGGTTATTTCCTGCAAAGGAATTTCTATATTTAATTTGTCTAACAAAGAGCAAAGGGGGGGGGGGNTTTTCTCACATAATTGTTATTGATGGCCCTGTACTCCAGCATTAGCAGCGATCACGGGGAAGGAGATTGTGGGGTAAGGTACAAGCCAGGCGACGTTCACATTACCTCTAGCTAGCCTTATCACCAAGCTAGCAGACGATTTTAAAAGCGCAGTAATATAGAATAAGTCAGAAAATATTTTCTTCACGCATATTGTTTCTAAAAGATACTTGTATTGTACTTAGTTATGAAGTATTCGATCTCTTTATGAAGTTCATTCGAGTTGAACTTCGTATTGTAATGCAATCAACACGGAGCTGTTTTCTCGGAGCGCGTTTTTTTTACTTCTCAAAATAAAAAATAAACAAACAAGAGAACGATCTCAAAGGCATTGGGAAGGCATCTCGTCATTACAAGTTCCGTTATCTCGTTATTACGGGTTAAGCCATCTCATTATAACGAGTTTAGTTTTTCTCGTTACGAGGGTGGTGTTTTTTGGTTGTCTTACCCGAAGGCTAATCATTCCGGGGGTTGGACATTTCTCAACTCAATATTGAGATATGGGTTGATGATGTTTCTCCCATCATTCAAAAAGTATGTTGATAGGAAGAATATATGACAGAATCAACAGGGTAAGAGACAAAGAATCATTCACACCTTGAGGTGATATGGGTGAGTCAGCAAATGCAGGTACCCAGTCAGTACCAGTTTAGGTCACCAGTCAGTGCAAGTAAAGATGCTCAGTGAATAAAAGTACAGGTCACCAGTCAATACAAGTAAAGATCCCCAGTGAATGCAAGTGTAAGTCCCAATCAATAAAAAGTATTGGTCTTCTGTTAACACAAATATAGATCTCCTGTCAGTACAAATGTAAACCTGTAATAAAGTGTAGGTCTCGACCACCAAAACTAAAGTAGACCATGTCAGTCCTCATAATGTTTCAAGGATATCATTGTGTGAGGATGGTATACATTTACATATAGATCAAGTTCTCGTAATCAAGAGATAACGTAACTCGTAATAACGAGATAAATTAAGCCGTAAAAACGACATAGTGTAACTTATTCGAGATAGCATCACTCGTGATAACTTTTGTCGTAATAGCGAGATTAACCCGAACCCCCTCAGCGATATATCGTAATAACGACAAAGCGTTACTCGTAATAACGAGATAACGCAACTTGTAATTACAAGAAAGCACGAGATATTTTTTTTCCGCGTGGTACTAATCGGCTTTCATAGTAGGTGCTTATATGCATGTATATGAAAACATTCAGCATTATCGGGCTGCGTGCAACAAAGCGTTGTCACAAAGGGAGGGGGGAGGATAGGGGATAACGTTATATTTGAGCATTGCCTGTTCATTACCTCGAATTCAAACCCTGTCTTACACGCGCATGTAATGAAGAATATACATATGCAAGGATTTCTGTGTAAACAACAACAACAACAACACAGAAAATGTTTTATCAAAGGAAAATATTATGCACAGAAACTTGTCACTATACTATACGGTTCAAACAGAAGCCTCTGTGCTAATGCTAAAAGCATGCATACTTTCTGTGTAATTGGCAGGATATAACAGTATCGCATTGATTTACGATCATAGAAAACTGTATAGAAAATAAACTTACATTGCGGCCTTCCTTCTCCCCTTGTCCGGTCAGGTAAAATAAGTTCCTACAAAACCGCGCGACCTTACAGTCACTCTATAAATCACGCACGTGTTTTCTCTCAAGTTTTTTGAGTGGCCCAACGTATCCAATTAACATACCAAACATTTTTAAATAGATAAGGCTTTTTCGGCAAGCGAGTATTTTCTTTAGGTAATTTTTTTGTGTCATGGTGTTTCTTTATTTTGTGTCATGCAAACATCATGACACATTTTACCATCATGAGGTATTTTTTTTGTGTCACGGTATTAACTTTATTTTGTGTCATACTAACATCATGACACATTTATTTTAGTTACATTTTTTGTGTCATGGTGTTTCTTTATTTTGTGTCATACTAATATCATGACACATTTATTTTACTCTATTTTTGTGTCAGGCTGCTATCGGCCATCGTATATCTGGGACATTGCCAGTATCAATTAATTTTGTCCCGGCAAGGCTACAGAGCCAGCTCCCTAAGGTTTAGTTTTGTGGGCAGCACACGAGTGTACACTGAAGGTATTTTGACCACTCATGAATGGTGTGAGCCTTAACCCGTACTTTTGGTTGATATTGATACAAGAAAAGACATGAACAAATTGTTTCATTATGAAATAGTCATACATGGATTTACTTGAGATTAAATGGGATAAATGTATATAAATACATATATAACAACATTATTGTATGAATAAAGAAATATATAAAATTAATAGCGGTATACATTACAGAGCACCTTACATAATGTATTCCATAATTGGCTTCCCAAACATTCTGTATTGTATATATATGTCCTTTTTAGAAAGTATGATTAAAAAGCATACATACATATGTTTTCATGCAGCATGATATGAATATAATAATAATGTCTTATTTCATTTCTATACAATATTTATATTACACCTTTAGTGAAAAAATATCTGGCATTTATATCATTATTTTCTAATAGCATATATTATTGCTGTTGCCACAAAAAACAAATCAATCCACTACCAGAAACAATGAATAATATTTAAACTACAAACTCGAAACACAAATCACTGTTACATATATGTATCAAGTGAATCAACATCAAAGCCAAAGTTGAAATCACAAAAATTCATCCAACAGTGTTTCCGTATTTGAAATGTAGGATTATAATCCAATTTGAAAAACAATTTGTACCCAAATCCTAATGGACAGCCATACATGGGACATAAGTGGGAATAACTGTGAATAGAATGGAGTTTATTGAATAATATTATATATAACAAAAAAAATGTTTACATCATTAAAACCAAAATTATAATTCTGAACGATAGTGTCAGTAAATTGTTTTTGTTTTCCACAGCTTGTAAATGTAAACACACACAGTCAATTCACAATTATCATGAGACATAATCATGTTGCACCCAACTGTATAGAGCAGGACCTCTTCTCACACAAACTGACTTTGGCTGCTGACCTGTCACATAAGTTTTGTGTAGAGATTAGGTAGCCAGTGATTTGCCTGGATAACGAATCACCTGATAATGATTTGATATGATATTACACTGTAACCATGTTATTTGTCAGACCCAGATCAGGCCTTTGAGCTAGGCACAGTCTATGTTAACCCGTGAGGAAAAAAATAACATTGAACACAACTATTGGTCATTATTATTTGTATCCGAGAAACAACACATAAAATGCGTGCGTTATGCACATTATTGTCGGGCATGGTTAAATTTATAACCGTGATTGTGTTAACGTTTGTTTTATTCAAGAGCTGTACTAGTTTTTATACAGACTTTTTACCAGTATTTTTTTAAAAGGAATTTCACANGTGATTGTGTTAACGTTTGTTTTATTCAAGAGCTGTACTAGTTTTTATACAGACTTTTTACCAGTATTTTTTTAAAAGGAATTTCACAATAATTGCTTGATAAATCATACTAAATTAAAGTCATACTCATCTTCAATATGGTGTCAACAATTACAGAAGAACCCCCTTATTCTCAA